CGCAGGCATCTCATATGGAAGCTATTAAGCTTGCGCTCTTGGGATGTATAGGTGGTCCATGTCTCGCTCCCGTATAGTAGTGTACTGATGACACAAGCTCGATAGACGCACAGTTTGGTTTTCTCCGTTAGCTTGGTGTTTTGCCAGACCCGTTTATTTAGTTTAGCCATTGTGGCAGCTGCCTTGCCGATTCTGCTGTTGATTTCTTCTTCAATGGACAGTGTATTGGAGACCTTGGACCCCAAGTAGGTGAAGCTGTCCACAACATCCAAGTTTTCATTATCGATTTTTATGTTAGGTGGAGGTCGAGTGTCTTGGGCCATGATGTTAATGTTTTAGTCAATATTGTTATCTGTTACCAATGATGGGTAGTTATTGCAAACACAAATGTGTGGACATTTACATTTCTTTAATTAATTATGTTTTATTAATGAATAATTTTATACCACGAATGTATTATTTGTTAATAATGTAGATGCAGAAGAAAAGAAATAATATGGTATGAAGAGGTAGTATTATTCAGTAGGCTGTAGATATCTTTAAGATAATCAAGAGACCTCTTTGACAGGCAAATGAATATGTCTTTGGAACGCGTTATCAGCCCCCCCCCCTCCTGCTTCCTAACATCGCTGCTGTTTTGAGTACTTAATAATGGTGGACAGATGGATTATTGTCATTCTGCGGACAAAGAAGTATGCAGGGTGAGATGTACATTCATTAATTTTTTTTAGTGCCCTACTTTCAGTTTGCATTTTGCGATAAGACATAGACTCGCCCCCCCCCCCCCCCCCCCCCCNCCCCCCCCCCCCACAAAACGTTCACTGGAACACAGGGGTTGAAACTGGGAGCGGAATACCTTTCGCGTGCTTCTAAACCTTTCCACACATTGCTTTAAAAAAAAAAAATTAGAACACCTCTCTCAAGGCAGATGGATCCAGGGGCGTAGGTAGGGATGGCGCCACCAGGGGCGGAACGATCATTTTTGCCTCCCACTGCCAAGAAAAAAACATATCTGGAGTATCTGCAGTAAGTCGAGAATACCATGCCACCAAATAAAGAAAAAAAATATCTGGAGTATCTGCAGTAAGGTGAAAATACCATACAACCTAATAAAGAAAAAAAATCTGGAGTATCTGCAGTAAGGTGAAAATACCATACCACCAAATAAAGAAAACAAAATGAGTGACGCCCGGGACGAACCGCTCCCCACCGCACCCCAGTTGCCACGCCACTGGACGGATCACATTATTTTATGTGTTGGTTTCGTCATGTTTAGAAAGTTAAAGAGACTTGCGGTTTCTTAAGCGTGTACTATAAGAAGCACTGCGACTACGGGAAAACTTAAGAAATTTGAGGTTACTCAACACGTGTAGTGAAATGAGACAGGGAGAGAGAGAAAATGGGGCGTCGTGAGAGAGAGCGAGAGAAAGAGATAGAGATGTAGTGATGTTGATATCATATAAATATATAAATGTTTTTAATGTTTTATGTTATAAGCGCTGGTGCATATAGTTTTTAAGTCTACCATGTATATTAGAATAAATGTCGTATGTGTTTTTTAAACTTTAACTTTAATAACCCTAGTTTTGTATGTTTGTTTTTTTAAATAAAGTAATAAATTGGAAGTTATAAATACATTTTTGAAGACGATCAAAATAAAAGTGGAGTGCAGAATTTTCTGACATGGCATAAAGGGCGCAAGAATGTGTAAATCCGGTTCTCTGTGTCCATTTGTAAAAATAATCTTTAACAAATTTGGAGCGAGCATAAAATAGTATTCATGAAAAGCATATCATACGATTAATACTTACATTACAAGAACAGTCGAACTCCAACATTGTCAGTACTGAACAATACCGAGCATCTTATACTATAATCTTACAATCAAGTATCACATTCCGCCTGACGTCACTGAACGATGGCATCGTATTACTGGGTTATAATATTCGAACTGACCAGTGGGAAATAATTCGATACAACGAATCTGATCATTGTTCTCATTTTAAGCCATGGATGCATATTTACGTTGTCTGTCTGAGACAGGCATTTTAATTCATTTAACATTTTAATTAACTTAACATTTAATTAATTTAACATTTTAATTAATTTAGAGAAGTAGCAACCAAATGAATGAAACAACCTGAAAAAAAAAAAAAAAAAAAAAAAAAAAAAAAAAAAAAAAAAAAAAAAAAAANTGAAAAAGAAACAACCAAAAAAAAAAAAAAACATAAAAAAAAAAAAAAAAAAAAAACTAACAAAGAACAACAAAAAAAAACAAAGTTTATCTTAAAATTTCCATTATCATCATTTTTTATTATTTAATTGTATATGAATATTTTAATGACCCTCCCGATATCACACCGCAGATTTATTTCCCCAACTAAAAAACAAAAACAAAATTTACGCACCAAACGCACTTGCGAGATTTATGCGAATGTCATTTAGTGCAGTTATCGGGAATTTTATTTCATGAAATCGGTGACTTCATAATTCCCTCATCTTTCCCTTTGTAGGGTTGTGCTCGGGGTTGGGCTGAAGATTTGACAGAATGCGTTGTCATCGGTAACTAGTATATGTTCCAAGTTTCATTTCGATAGGTTCGCGGGAAGTGGGTTTATTATCCTTTCGAAAATTTTGCCACACACCCAGAAAGACGGAAACACATGAACAAAAGCGAAGTTAATATAAAGGGTTTAATTATAATTTAAAAAAAAATTAAAAGACGTCTATAACAACGGAGACAACTCTATTTAGCTCGAGTTAAGTCCAACCCCCCAGAAACGGTCGCTTTGAAAAAATGAGCTAAATGGCCTCGTAAATAAAAGCATTGGTCAAGCAACTTTTCTTTTCTAGTTTTCAAATTATTTCTAGTACTATCAATGTAAGTCCTCAACCAGTGGGCGTGCTGGCTGAGCTACTAGTCTTTACAATATTATGTTTAGGCATAATGATTAGGTTTCAGTGCTGTTTGTTTGATTGCGAAAAGATTTCACAGACGTTGAGCTCTGATATCATCACCTTGCAAAGATTATTCCAACTTTAAGTTGGCCCATTATTCTTTAGAATAACAATTGAAAGTGAAATTTCTTACAATTGGACAACATTAAATATTTTTTTTTTTTAAAATCGTTTATTTTAATAAAAGTTAAAATTAATTTACAGCAATTTCCTTAATGCATTTTCAATGTCGTTATGGCTTATGGCTTATGGCAAATATTTTTAGCGCTCCAAATCTGACACTGAATATGTCTCATTGACCAGCAACTGTGAACTATCTCTGTGTTCATGCTTTTATTCAATGATCTCTTTGATTTTACAAGACAATAATGTTGACCTTTGCCTTTGGGCCATACTCCTTCATTGCTTAGTTCTTTGAGATTGATCTACATTTTGGTTTTGACCAGTGTTTCTCAAAGTGGGCGGTATTCCCCCCCCCCTCCCCCCCCCCGCCCCCCTACCAGCAACAGTGAACTATCTCTGGGTTCATGCTTTTATTCAATGATCTCGTTGAGTTTACAAGACAATAATGTTGACCTTTGCCTGTGGGCCATACTCCTTCATTGCTTAGTTCTTTGAGATTGATCTACATTTTGGTTTTGACCAGTGTTTCTCAAAGTGGGCGGTATTCCCCCCCCCCACCCACCCCCCGCCCCCCGGTGGGAGGGAGCGGTGGAATGACCCCCGGGTTAAAGTGTTCAATTATTTAAGGAGACGTTTGGAATTTCTAAGGGGGCAGTGGAAAATTTAACTAAAAAAAATATTTCTCTAAAATGATCTAATATTTGAATGTAAAATTTGAAATACTATTTTTATTGTCAACATTGAAAAAGGGTGGTGGATACAAATTAGTCGGATTTAATATAGGTTGATGCGTTTTTAATTATTAAAACATATTTTTTCTTTGTTGCTTTTTAAAAATTCGTTTTGAATTATTATTATTTTTTTTTAAAAAGTAGACCTACGTGATGTTTTTACTATTATTGTTTTAACTCAATCATCAACACCCCGTAGTTAAAATGTGAAAAAATGATTAGCTATCAAAAGAAAAGCGTGTGTGTCCCCCTTTTGAAGTTATTTTTATTCTCTTTACATTTTAAAAGACAAAAATGCTTCTCTCAGTGCTTAATCCCATAAGAATGAGATACCACATTGCAATAGTCACAAATAAATTTCAATTAAAATGAGCTAACAGTTATGCGGAGATGAAGTCAATGATTTAAGCCAAAAAAAAAAAAAAAATAATGTCTTCCTTTCTTATAAAATTTTTTTTTTTCCCTCATGATCGACAATGGCCCTTTCTAAGCCCGTCTGAGCAAAAGAAAAGGGGGTTACAAATAATGATATGCAAGTTACTACGACCATTTGAAAAGGGTGCAAAGACATATGTCCGACAGAGCGATTTTAAGATCTTCTTTGACATTTCAGATTGTGCGATAAATCCATTTTAGCATTTTGGATGATGAGCTGATTCAGCGTACAAATTATAAAGAGCTGTTGCGAAAAATTAAGGTCTCGTATTTAAAAGAAAATTTCATGTCACCAACCTGCACTGTAAAAGTGATTCGAGGCTACTTGCTGTATTTCCAATATCCTATTAAGTGGAATGTGATTGGAGAATGGTTGTATATGCCATACAGAGTTGTGCTAACTGCTATCTTGAGTAAGTAATTATTTTTTTAATTAGGGGTGAGTATAATATTATAATTTATTAATAATTAATATGGCACGGGGCGATGTTGATGTCCGAAAACAGTTTGAGAACCTCTCTTTTAAGCAATTTTATGTGGAAAAAAAGGGGTAGGTCTAGTCCTTTATGTTTATATTAAATTTTCTTATTACAAATGATGGCCTAATTATTTAGCACATTAAAAAAATGGCATTTCAATTAGAATTTTAAAAAAATTTTCATGTATTAATATTTAACGTCACCCAAATATTTAAAAATAAAATAAAAATAAAAATAAAAATGAATTAGTAGGGGAAATAACTCTAAAATAAACATTTTTCGTAGGTGAAGGACGAAAGAAATTCCAGAAATTTTCGTACAAAAACAAAGTTTCAAGAAGTTGTGTGATTTGTAAGTATGTACTCGTAAAAGTAAAGTTATAGATTTTACAAAAAATGTTACGCATACATAAGCTTGCATGTGGATATTTTTAACCTTGATTCGGAGAAATAATGTAACTCGTCAAAAAATCGCATGAAATTCATCATAATCACATGCTGTACTGTGAATAGTGTGGATGAATGCACTTTCATTCATCCACACATTCATTATGACTAGTTTCACTGTGCTTGCAATGCGGCCACGCTTTGAATTGATGAACGCTTGGCTAATAACTTAAAATCATCAGAAGTTTAAAGAAATTGATCTAATTAGATTAATTGCAATGACCAATGATAGTATTGAGAGCCCTGTCATGACGTACTTTAAGACTTTGACTTACTTAACTTAAGATACCAATTACTTAGCCTCAGTGTTTCTTTCGGGGGGGGGGGGGGGGCCTTTTGGTTTTTGGGGGGGGGGNGCAAGTTGCCAGTGGCCAGAGGCAAAGCTAAGGAGGGGGCAGATGAGACATAGTTCCCGGGGCGCTAGACTAGCGGGGGTTGGCAAAAAGGGCATAGATTGTTGTAATTGGTTGAAAATAACGGGTTTCAGAGTTGGAGGGGGCATAAAAAGGAATCTTGTCCCCTGACGCCAAACACTGTAGATACGCCCCTGTTAGTGTCATCAAAATAGGGCTGATGGAGTGGTCTACCCGTGTGTCACTTTTTCTTTATGTGCTGGTGTGGCATTTTTGGATAACAGTAGCGTTTGTATCGTGAAAGGGAGAACGGAAAAAATATTTGGCCGCTCATGGCAGCACTAACAGTAGCTACGCCACTAGGCAGTGATACAAAAATCAAACATAGGGCTGTAATCGAGGGTGCCGATGAATCTTGATCAGTAGAGGGGTTTGGGAAGCCTGCTTCCCAGAAAATTTTTGATTTTTTCAAAATCAAGAGGTGTATTTTTTAGTATACTTGAATTTGATGTTTCTATTATACCTTTTGAACAGGGAAGAACAATTTAAAGTTTTGTAGGAGGCATTATTTAGCCCAGTACCAAATATAAACTGAAGTCACTCCATTTGTGGCATGCCCTGGGTAATCATTAGGGATCAACCCCATAGTGACCATTGATCAGTGTGAGGAAAGGGGTGCTTAATTTAGCGTTCTAAAGACATTTGTACAAACTCAAAATGCAGGGTCGAATTTTTGCGCATACTTGAATTTGTTGTTTCTTTCAGACAATTTTGATGTGGAATTCAAACTTTCGGATGAGAAGCGCCAAGATTAGCCATAATAATGACCAAAGACATCTTAAATTCCGCACCAGCGGGACGTAAACTAAATTCTCTATAGTTGTGTCACCCTTGAGGGTACGCTTTTTCCCTAGATTATTTTCGCCCCTTAAATCTTTTTAGTCCCCTAAAAATAAAAAAAAAAGAAGAATACATTTTATCACATATCTGAATTTATTTTCGCAACAGTCTACACTTAACTGGAGAGAAACGGAAGATATCCTATGTAGGTGTCACTTAACCTTTTAGCCATCGTGTTCGCCCAGCAACCCCTTCAACTGCAGGTGCCTTTGATATTTTAGGGGCTTAAAGATATCATGTGGATATTGTATTACTTGTCATGTGTCCATGCAGGGTTGGCAAAATGAAAATTGCTTGTGTTATGCAAAAAAATAATAATTTGAAAAATAATTATATAACTAAAAATAGTTATATGGCTTAAATTTTTTATTTATATTATTTTTAGGGATAGCTACTTAATTAATAAATGAATTTAAAAAAAAAAAAATTCAATTAAAAGGGTTAAATCACTAAAGAGCACTGCAAAAATTATTTTATTTACTGAACGCAAATGGAAAAAACAAACTTACTTATAATTATAATGTTTAGACTATCTTTTTTAAATATATCCTATTTTACCAGAGTCAAAAAGAAAAAAAAACAGGTTTATTTGAAAGGTCTATACATTTTTATGGGTCTTGAAAACTGGTCATTTTTATAAATTGTAAATGAACGACCTAACTATTTTAAGAGGACATGAGTTGTTTACAAAAGACATTTATTTATGTGTAATTTTTTCTTGGTTAAATAGTATTCAAATAAAGTATACATTTCCCAATATTCAGTAGATTGAAATTTTTATTTGGAATTTCAAACTACTATAACTTTCTTAAATTGCCTCTTAAAATTTTAAAAATAAAATCCACAGAATCTATTTTAAATTGACGAATTAGGAATAAGAATTTTTTTGAAATGCTAGTTCTCAAAAACATTTTTCTCAGCTTTCTAGAAGATTCTCATCTAAAATAAAATTAATAATATAAAAAATGAGTGTAACGCCAAGGGATGGGGCAGTTTGTTTATTATTCTGACATTAAAAAGAGAAAAGCAGTTGGGAAGTTAATAATAATAAATAGAGGCTAGTATTTTAAAAAAAAACTGCTATTCAGGAAATTTTGTAACGTTAGTAGCACATTTAAAGAAAACAAAAACACTTTTGATTTAATAATAATTTATGAAACGTGCGCTATTTGTATGCGTCCTTTGAATTCTAAATTAGAAAAAAAATGCATGATGCCATCATACAATTTATGATTAACACCTATACTTATTTTTTAGTCATGCTTTTACGATGAACTATAATTTGAAAACAGATTGCACATATTTAATACGTGACTAACTATTATTAAAATTGTAAACCTTTATTGGTATGTAAATGCATTTTAATACAGAGCCTTTAAAATCTTTAAACTTGTGAAGTTGCAAAAAAAAAAAATATATATGAATAGCGATATATGCGAACAACAGAGAGTAAGACTGGAACAGTCAGTGCGATTTGTATAACCGAATACTATAACTTGATTAGCATATACAGGTCATCAAATATATCAAGCCTTGCAATTTTGTATAGATTCCACTAATTGTGATCGGTTCAAGGCACCAGTTACTATGCTTTTTAAACTGTTTACAAATGACAATTTTGTCATTTTAAATTTGTTAAAATATTTTTTTGTTATATTGTACACATCGTGCCCTCCCAGAGAGAAAGCTGAAAGAAACACTGATGCCAATAATAACTATATTTTTAAAGCATGAGGCCATCATTCAATTTTTAATTAAAACCATTCCCTACTTTAAAAGTAATGCTTTATTTAAAAAATATAACTTGAAAACATGAAAAGATTGCTCACGTTTGATACTTAGTGAGAGCTCTAATAAAATTATAGACCTTAAAATTGAAGCAAATGTAGTTTAATACAGTGTTATTAAGGTCTTTAAACTTGTGAGTTTGTAAAAAAATAATTAAATAACAAATACAGATAAATGCGAATGGGAAATAATACCTCGGCTCATAATCGGCGAATTTTCGAAACAGTGAGATATTTATATTCGAATAACGTAAGCTTCTTAGAAGATTGCCCTTAAATATACTGATCATCAAATATATCGAGCTTAGGGATATTTCATAGATTCCACTAATTGTAATCAGTTAATTAATGACACCAGCTTTTTAAAATTTAAAAAAAAATTAAAATTGGTAGTTTTTTATAAAATATATTTTGTTTCATTGATGTAGGTATTTTTGCTCCGGGGGGCACTTGACTTTCCCCCGGGGGGCCCGAAGATATAGCTGAAAGAAACCCTGCTTAGCCTACTAGACCTAGGCTAAGTTAAGACTTCTAATAAGTGACTATGACTGTTAATGGTCAGTATGAATGTACCAGCATTAACTTCATAATTATGGTGGCCGGGCATCCCGGTTGACTCGGGAAGTCCCTAATTTTTCACCATCTGTGCCAGCGTCCCCAAAAGCTCAGGAAATGTTCCGGCCTGTGGCCATGGCATTTTCTGACAAACTGTGTACTTTTCCCTAGACCCATTTTGATTCCTAGTCATACTTTCAGCCCATCATGATGTCAAACGGTTAGTGGATCTTCTTCCGAGTCTGATGCCTACTGGTAGCTTTTTTTTTTTTTTTTGCATTATGAAAATGTATGGAAGGCAGGGAGTAAGGTGGAAGTGGACAGATCATTGGATGAAATGGGCTGCATGGTAACAATTCATTGGATGATGTTTCATCCAGATTCTGACATTCTTACGAGTAGTACATGTTTTGTCCTAGAACATTATATAATCCATTAGACCCACTATATGCCCATAGACATAGGCTACGCTATATATATTCTGATAAGGGCTGATTCACATGTCAATGCGGCAATCGAGGTGAGCCATTTTCACGTAAACTTCAATTCCTGATTGGAACATTTGGTTTTGGTACTTCCATAACATACTATATCATGTCTACTAATGAATTAGTTCTTTGGTCTTCAGGAAAGCGTGTCTTGCAATCGATATTCACAAACAGTATTTAGCTGGGGGGGGGGGGGCGGGCTTTCCCAGGTTACCCCCTGAATGAATTAGTTCTTTGGTCTTCAGGAAAGCGTGTCTTGCAATCGATATTCACAAACAGTATTTAGCTGGGGGGGGGGGAGCGGGCTTTCCCAGGTTACCCCCTGAAACATATGGTGTCTTGTGAAGGAATTATGAATTGGAGTGATTGGGGCCCATCCCCAGTGGTGGATTGGCCCAATGAGACGGGGCCCATCCCCAGTGGTGGATTGGCCCAATGAGGCACTGGGAAAAATCTTGGTGGGCAAGTGACATTTGGGACACCTGGTGGGTCGGTTCTGTCAGTGAGATTTGGGCTGCACGATTCACCTGTCTGTGATTTACCCACCTGGGCCTCTTTTGGCAATGAGAATAGGGCAATTTGGGCTGCTTCTGCATTACAATGAAGAATACTTTGTATTAAATCTCTCCTTACAGTGTATGCTCTATAATATAAAGTTATATAAATTTCTAGACTATCAGATTGTTTTGTTGGTTGACTAGTCTTTCATGTAGCCATTAGCATTGTGTACAATAGATTTCCACGTCAGTTAGTGGGTCTGGTGGGAATATATCATGGCATTTGCTAAGATACTAACCAGGTCAAGTATTTTAACTGATTTCTTTCTTTTTTCAAAATAGGTTGGCTGAATACAGCAGCGATTTGACACACTTATCAAAATCAGGGGCATCGTTATAAAAGAATTGAAGGAACAAACTTAGTCATCCCACACTTTATGTCATCATGTATGACATCATAATCTTAAAGGAAGGCTACACTCACCTAGAACCTCATGGTAAGTTGGAACCAGGGGAGGGCTGGGCAACTTTGCCAGTTTGAAGCCAGAAATCAACATTAACATGCATCATGTTTCTTCATACTAAACAAAACATTCGAAATTTTAAGAACATTTTTTTTTACTTCATGTAAAATATGGGGGAAAAGTTTTTAAAAGACTGGCTGTTAATTTGACCACTGCACCACAGGGAAAGGAAACTTTGTTTTAAAGAGTTCAGGAGATAATATGTTCACCAAAATTTACATCTTATGTTACTTATTTCATTTTAAAGAATTCTTTTCAATATATTTCGGACATAACAATGAAAAAAATTATTATTATTGGAGAATATATTATATTGTTCTTTTTAAGCCTAGCCTTTGAGTGTGGGGAGACTGGAGATTCTTAACAATTTGTATAATTTACAGGGACACTGAGGGCATGTGGAAGCATTACTCTCCTGAAGGGACCACGTCACAACATCATTGTTGATACGGGAAATCCGTGGGACAGAGAGACACTGCTACAAGGTCAAGGCTTCTTTTATTTGGTTAAATTTTAAAGATCAACAAAAATGTTTCTACACATAAAATAAATGTAATTTGGCATAACTGATTTATGCTTAAAGTACATTTTTTATTAAGTTTGGCTCCAATTATGATTTTATTTATTTAAATTTTTTGCTGTAAGAGGACCATTTAATCACACATTGGGGGGGGGGGGGGTTTGTTGTCCTATTCACTGGCTTGCTAGCAAAACCCCATCTTATAGATTAGTTAGACGGTTGAAGTTATATAAGTTATTTGAATCAAATAACCAGCTCTGGAAAGACATGGCCTGAGTCCTGACAAGATAAACTATGTCATTTGCACCAGTGGCAAAATGGCCAAGACTGGCAACCTCAACCTCTTCACGTCTGCCACTCAGCTTGTGTCTGGTGATGTATGCAAGGGAGAGATCTATCAACTTCATAAATTCCGTGAGGTAGAAGGAAGGGCTGCTACTCACTCACCAAATTGTTTTTTATTTGAAGCATTCAAAGTCCACTTACTAAAACATTTTTAGAGAAGCTTTATCTAATGGAGTATGGTGCTCAGAGAATCTACCTTTTTGTCCAATAACACTTCACTAATTAGTTAAAATTACATTCTGTTGTCTCTATACTTTTTTAATAAAAATCTTGTTCAGGATAATTCAGAAATCATTTGAGTTTGTGCTTCTCAAATTCAGTACCTAGGAAATTTTGTAAATTTTTGGGTCTCAGAAGAACCCAAGTTTTAATTATAGTTCTATCTTTCTTATGAATATTTGGGAAGCAATATTCTCAATTCATTACTAATTAAAAGCTTTTTGTCATTGTTATTATGTGTATGTTTGAGCATAATCCTTTCAGCAGTTCAACTCTGTGACATATGCTACTCATCTTCAGCCTAAATGGCATTTATCAGGCTTTATACACACTAATTCTCTTACCATTTACGCTGCCTATTTCATGACTAACTTGTTGCTTGTGCATGGGTGTGTCTGCAGGTTTGGGTGCCCAGGGACTGAAACCAGAAGACATCCATTATGTTGTGTGTTCGCACGGCCACTCAGATCACATTGGCAACCTCAACCTGTTCCCTGCGGCTGTGCATTGTGTAGGCTTTGATATTTGTCGTCAAGATGAGTACCTCCTGCATGAGTTCAAACAGGTACAGGCCATTGGGATTGTGCCTTGCTGATGGTTAAAAGAAAGAAAAAACAAAAGTTAACAAGTTAACATCTACCAATATTTAAGCCATTAAAATATAAATTTCAATTTGCATAAATTTCGAAGCTTGGTGCAATCAGCCTTTGATGAAAAGAAATGACTTACATGTACTGAATAAGTTAATTTTTAGAAATTCTGTTTCTTCTTTCCACGTTCAGTGATATTTGACTACAAAATTCACGATGTTGAAGACAACACTATAAAATGTTACTATCATAGAATAATATCGCAATGCTAATTCAGATTGTTTTTGTGTGTGCCTCAACCAACTGCTGATGTTTGCATTATTAAGCATGAGTTTTGCATATCGCTCAGAGTTAAAACATTTTTTTTCCTCTATAGTTGTTGTCAGGCAGCACTTTTAGCACTAGACTAACAATAGTCCAGGCAGCACTTTTAGCACTAGACTAACAATAGTCCAGGCAGCACTTTTAGCACTAGACTAACAATAGTCCAGGCAGCACTTTTAGCACTAGACTAACAATAGTCTTGGAAACTTGAAGAAATACTTTTTTTTTTTTTGGTCCTCACTATGAGCTCGGCTGTGTTGTCTGTAACTTTGGATTGCTGTCATCACAGACTCATTATAAAATAAGAAATGAGGTCATAGCATGATAATAGTAAACATTTATTTAAGCTTCATTTGATATTGGAAGAGAATAATTTGTTGTCCTGAAAAAAAAAATCAAAGTCCGTACCGGTATTCAAATGATTTAAATCCATTGTGCCGGTATGTCTTTTGACAGATTTTGGGTACTTGAAGTTGATAAACAACTGTCCCAGCCGCTAACAAAGAGCATCTTGTAAAGAAGATAAACCATAGTAATTAGAAATTAACTACAGAGTACATCAGATTGATGATGACTAGTTTCAACTTTTTATCTTGCCGCACATTCAAATGACTTACTAATTACCCTGAGGCACAGCGTTCGAGTATTTAATAACAAATATCAGCTGTTACAGTGAGGAACGACATCAAAATAAATTACTATGATACTAGCTGTATGTAAATCTTAGGCATTTCTTTCTATCATAGGGAATACCCTATGAAATAGATGAAGATGTTGAAATCTGGCCAACCCCAGGGCACACGGGAAGTGATGTTTCGGTGTTGGTCAAAAGGACTAATCTCGGGACAGTTGCTGTAGCAGGTATGTAGCATATGTAATGTAACCCATGAACTGATCACAGTAAGCACATTTTTAATTTAAATATATAAAAATTCCTTGACCCAACCAACATAATTGTGACTGGTTTGTGAATCCCCCAACATATCACTGGTTAGTGTCACATACGATGGTTGGTTAGTGTCACATACGATGGTTGGTTAGTGTCACATACGATGGTTGGTTAGTGTCACATACGATGGTTGGTTAGTGTCACATACGATGGTTGGTTAGTGTCACATACGATGGTTGGTTGCAACATGTCAGATGTGTTTATATGGTCTTTAGGTGAGTGGGTCTACACCAATGTATTCCTATCATTCTATTTAGGTGATCTGTTTGAGTGTGAGGCTGACTTGGACTGCCCAGGCTTATGGCAGGAAAACAGCGAACGACCCCACTTACAACAGCAGAGTAGGATTGCAGTACTTGATGTGGCCGATTATATAATTCCTGGTCATGGCCCAATGTTTCAGGTCTGTGGGAATAATGTGTGTGCAAATGTAGGTCAGTTTGGATAGGGATATGCAAATGTAGTTCAGTTTGGATAGGGATATTCAAATGTAGGTCAGTTTGGATAGGGATATGCTAATGCAGGTCTGTGGCACTGGGGGTATACCACCCTAGGTCAGTTGGATTGGGCTAGACCAAACAAGTTAGTGGGATCGGGATATAACCAACATCTCATGGCGGGTATTGTAGATCATTGTTTATAGGTGATCGATTGCTCGACACTATTTATTTAATTCCCATGTAACAGAGATAAAGCTGAATGCTCGACAGTGTTATAAAGAAATTTATCAGTAGGTTCGGGGTATCTTGGAATAGATTTAATAACATGATTTGCTCTTGCAGGTACCTCCTGAATACAAGAAACAGATGCGCGTGATCATGATCATGGAAGAACATTACAGCTCATCAGATATGACAACCAGGACAGAATGTATTATTGTAGAAACTGATTAAGAGAAAAAACAAACACATAAAACATATATTTCATAAAACATGTATTATTACACAACCTCATTTGGCTTGTACTAACCTGTGGAGTCACTTCTATAGAAGTTTTGTTGTTGGTAATCTGAGTTGTTTGTGGCCTATTCTGCTTCCATTGTTGTGTTCATGTAACGTTACATTGTGCCACTGCTAGGGAATCTAAGGCTTTCTTGGAGCAGGTCTTGGAGGTTGTTTTTTTTTTATGGGATTTTTTTTCACATTCAAATTGTTTTTGCAGTGAAAAATTAGTTCGCTTAGTCAAAGATATATGATTCCGATTATCCTTCAGTAATGTTCAGGAGGAATACTAATTAAAGATAATTGTGTTTTGCATCAAGTCTTTTTGGCTTGATTAAGTTAGATAAAAAAAACAAGAAACAATAATATAATTATAAATTAAATTTACATAATATATGTGCATCCTACCTAAACATAAAAATAAAAGAATAAGAATGGGCACGATTCCCTAATGAAAACTAATAACAGAAGAATGCAAAGAACGTGGATGGAAGCACAATTTGGTTTAATTTATACTGTATGAGGTCACTTTTCAAGCCTTTTTATATTTTTCCATATAAATTGTATCAGTTGCCTTGCATAAAATATACCAACAACTGGTATTCTATATTCTATTAGGGTTAGTTCTGTTGAAATGTTTAGAAACTGGACTAAGGCATTGATGCATATTATCCATTGTGACAAAGTGTTCAGTATGACCCCCACATTTAGTGGTAACTTACCTCACTTGTGGAACTCATGGCCTTGTTTCAGTACCATTGACATTACTTTATGTGGTGCTTACGTGGCTCTATCAGTTTTAATTGGCAATCAGGTTTCAAAGGTGTATGGTTTTTTTCTGTTATTGTGATGGAATGTTTGTATTATTAACTGCTGATAAAGTTGATAAAATATTTTTAAAATTTTTATTTTGTGTGCATCTCGGACAGCAATATAGTTAAAAATATTTCTAAAAGTTATAATTACTGTAGTTAAAGGTAAAATTGATCATGTTGTCAATAAAACTTTCTTTAATACGAAAAAAATTAACAAAACATGACATTAAAATTAAATATTCCACATTAAAAGTCAGCAAATAATAAAATCTGTTGATAATGTAAAAAAATTGTCTATAAAGAAAATTCACAATGAAACATTCTTAGACATTTAAAAAAAAAAAATATTTGTGAAAGAATGTTTAAAAAGTAAAATGAATGTGTGAAAAAAATCATATATATTGTTGTTATCATTAAAATAAATTTTGCTTAATCCATATAAATTTTGCTTAATCCATACGTTTATAAACTGATACGAACACACTGACATGAGTTCTCTTTAGCTTTTCTAATTGGTATCAACTTAAGTTTAACCAATCCTGACATGTTTATACTATTTCCAATTGATGCTAATAATATTTATTGATGAGAACACTCTACTAGTAAAGAATTCATACATTTTTTTAAATACAAAGTGGAATTTGATCAATTAATTATTTTAGGGAAGTAAAACTTTTTAAACTGACATTCTGCTTGGATAATTACTGCTACAGTCTATTTATTAGATTATATTTAGTTGGGGTTTGGGGTTTTTTTATAGTGAGGAGAAAAAATATTTGAAATATTCAGAGGTCTTGATCATTTTGTGCCACCTGCATGTGTAGCTGTTGATCGATGTTGATCTCATGACATGTGACTTATGTTTGTTGAGTTGTGTCATCACACCTGCATGTGTAGCTGTTGATCGATGTTGATCTCATGACATGTGACTTATGTTTGTTGAGTTGTGTCATCACACCTGCATGTGTAGCTGTTGATCGATGTTGATCTCATGACATGTGACTTATGTTTGTTGAGTTGTGTCATCACACCTGCATGTGTAGCTGTTGATCGATGTTGATCTCATGACATGTGACTTATGTTTGTTGAGTTGTGTCATCACACCTGCATGTGTAGCTGTTGATCGATGTTGATCTCATGACATGTGACTTATGTTTGTTGAGTTGTGTCATCACACCTGCATGTGTAGCTGTTGATAGATGTTGATCTCATGACATGTGACTTATGTTTGTTGAGTTGTGTCATCACACCTGCATGTGTAGCTGTTGATAGATGTTGATCTCATGACATGTGACTCATCACACCTGCATGTGTAGCTGTTGATAGATGTTGATCTCATGACATGTGACTTATGTTTGTTGAGTTGTGTCATCACACCTGCATGTGTAGCTGTTGATAGATGTTGATCTCATGACATGTGACTTATGTTTGTTGAGTTGTGTCATCACACCTGCATGTGTAGCTGTTGATAGATGTTGATCTCATGACATGTGACTTATGTTTGTTGAGTTGTGTCATCACACCTGCATGTGTAGCTGTTGATAGATGTTGATCTCATGACATGTGACTTATGTTTGTTGAGTTGTGTCATCACACCTGCATGTGTAGCTGTTGATAGATGTTGATCTCATGACATGTGACTTATGTTTGTTGAGTTGTGTCATCACACCTGCATGTGTAGCTGTTGATAGATGTTGATCTCATGACATGTAACTTATGTTTGTTGAGTCATGACTATCCTTCACCATACAAAGCCCACACTAAGTCTTCAGGCAGGGGTTCTCTACCATTAGGGACAGCATTGAGTATCTTGGGAGCGTGTTCCCGGGAAAACTCAGTAGTTTGAGCATAATTTTAGAGATAAATTGAATACAATGGGATTGTCAGTGGAACTATGAGCTATGATAAAGTTAAGAACCCTTGTCTAATGGACTTTTTATAACAACAGCCTTGTTTTTTTCTTTTTTTATAAACTCTTAAAAACTGTATTCCCATCAGCTCCAGGTGTCCAACCAGACGACGCTTCAACATCTCAACCCACCCCGACATCTCAACCCAAACCGCATGTCTCAATATCCCCATGAATGTGTCCTCACTGACCAATGTCGAGTGACAGGATTTTCTAATCTAAAATTGAGTTTGTACTCACCTGTCTGAACGCAAAGAGAAAAAAAACCTTGCACACAAATCAATATTGTTTACTTATTGAGTGTGAACAGTCTGCGTCAAGAGATCCTCAACTTTTCTCAAAGACTGTCAACTAGTAGCTGTAAGATTATCTAGCCTGATTGATTTGAGACTATCTAGTTTCTGAGATGACCTTTAATTGTTTTTCATAAATAAGTTTGAATTATTATTTTTTTTTAATATTGTAATTGCACATTTGGATTAGAGATTGTTACAGAAAGGCAATGTACATTAGGCAGTTACTGGCAGTAGTAACAGCAAGTGGTACAGACTCCCATTGTTACAGAAAGGATATGTACATTAGCAGTAGTGACAGCAAGTGGTGCAGACTCGCATTGTTACAGGAAGGCAATGTACATTAGGCAGTAGAAACTGCAAGTGGTACAGACCAGGAAGGCAATGTACATTAGCAGTAGTGACAGCAAGTGGTGCAGAGGAAATCATCAGTTTTTGATAAAGAAAATGTAGTCAGAAATTGGCAAGTATCTCAAATAATTTGGATAATGGTTGAAATCCAAGTCTTTAAATCTCTGATTTACAACTAGGGATATGTAAGATGTTAATAAAATACTTTATCTGGATAATCAGATGGTATTGTGAATAAATTGTTTCATTCATTCATCTAAAAGGATTGAAAGAAGTTTGTTAGTTGAATTTATGCTTGTTCAGGAGACCATTTATTGGTCAACAGTGTACCAGTATTAAAAAATAGTTCAGTTTTGTAAAACATCAGTACCTCTATATTTTTATCTAGATTGCTATGAGTCAAAGTCTATCCACACAATTTCCACCATTTTGTGATTGTAGATTTCATAAATTATTTCATTAATAATACACTCTTCTAGCTCGTTTCCTTGTTGTAAGTTAACTATATAATTCATTACTAGCAATACTACGGTAATGCATGAGTGGTGTCCTCTGATAAGTCAGTGTTTGTCAAATAGTGTGCACTTTGCTTCAATAAAACTTCAAGTTAAAGCTTTTTGACAACTAACTTACATAAAACATGGTCATTATTGTGGAAGAGAAATGGTTAAAAACAAATTTGATACATTTAATATTACCCAAATTATTATATATTTTTTCATAGACGGAGGAGATGCCATAAGCAAGATTCAATTTGTGATCCTGTAATTCTTTGTAAAATTTGCTTTAGAATTGTGACTTGTTTACTGTTACTATAGCAATATAAACATTCATGTTGACCCGGAAATCTATTTGAAAAAACTCAAGCCACACACTACACTTTAATTGATGTGAAATTATGAATAAAAATAATACAATTACAGGATTTTTTGTTGTTAAATTTATAAAGTTTTTCTTTGGGTTAAAAAACTATTTGAATTTAAGGCTGGCAACGCTTAAATGCATTTCCAGTTATCCAACTATTGTTTAGTCCCCTGAATTTTTAAAGTGAAAGTTTAAAGAAAATCCTTTTCATTTTACAATACTACTTGAATATACCGTGAGATGATGATGTGCTGTGGGATAATAACTTTCAAGAAATGTACATTATTTATGGTTGGGGAGCCAGTATGATAAAAGCTCACAAAATCTTTGTACGGCTAATTGACCCACTTCCTATCAACCTATCGGGCTGAAACTTGGCACATAGACTCGTTGCTGATGACAAGACATTCTGTCAAATTTTCAGCACCATCCACCGAACCCCAAAAAAAACAGTTTTTCCTGTTTGTCAAGGGGAAGATGAAGGAAATATGATGACACTGACAACTGGGTTAAATGAGATTCTTTTTTTTTTTTTTTTTTTTAAATATCGCAAGGGGGTTTGGTGCGTAATATGTTTTTTTGTTTTTTCTGAAATAGTTGGTGAAATAAATCTGCTGTGTAAAAGCGAGGGGGTCATTAGAATATTAATATAGGTCAGGGGCATGAAAAAAATGTACGGTTGCGAGCTGACACTGACAACTGGGTTAAATGAGATTCTTTTTTTTTTTTTTTTTTTAAATATCGCAAGGGGGTTTGGTGCGTAATATGTTCTTTTGTTTTTTCTGAAATAGTTGGTGAAATAAATCTGCTGTGTAAAAGCGAGTGGGTCATTAGAATATTAATATAGGTCAGGGGCATGAAACAAATGTACGGTTGCGAGCCTGGAGTTCTTATCAAATGCGTTACTTGTATGCATGTTTTTCAATTGTCCGTCCCACCCACCATTGCCTGATGTTACATTTTATAAAAGGATTTATGCCAAAAACGTTTCTAGGGGTTAAATGATTTGGCTGTTGTTTCTTTTCTCTTTTTTGGACAAAAATGATTATTTGATAAAATACTAAGTTGTTAGATGCGATAACCAATCGCAGTATTACTTTTCTCGTGACATTAAATTACAGCTGTTATATCAAAATGGCGGCCATTGAAATCAACTGCTTAGGATTAAAATATTTGAAAACAAGACACTTTCAAGTTTCTCACACCTTTGAAGGATAAGTACCATAATTTCTGATACCCAAAAACTTGGCATAATTGAAATTTCACTACCAGAAGCCTGACTGCTCAGAGGACCGGATCTGAGAATTTAAATAGTGTGTCATAGGCCATGTCATATTCAAAGTCAATAAGGGACAATTTAGCATATCATTATTACATTAATTACAGGTATGGATATTCTCTTTATTAAGTATAGTGTTCATTATATAATCACGTATAATAGTCTATGCAAGGCAAGGGGTTCCCTAAAAATAATGCTGGTTTGGGATTACTTATTTTGAACTTTCAACTTTTGCACATGACTAACTAATTAAAGATTTCTTGGACCAATGATTTAATGGTATATTCTTTAATAAATAAAACAATGAGAGTAGTAATATAGTAGTACAAGACATTCAAGTGACTGTGAATGGTTGCCCATGACAACGTTCTGCACAAAGCAAATTATACTCATTTATAATATGGACTCTTATGGGGTTTTTAAACCTCAAATTAAGACATTCTTGATTAAATTACTTCTTGGTTCATTCTAAAACAAAATTAATCAAATATTTTGATGTAAACAGTGGTAAAAGTTGAATATTTCCTAAGTAGCAGCATCTTCTGCAGAAACGTCATTTGGGTAGGGCAGGGTGGAACATTAGCCCCCCCCCCCCCCCTCCCGAATTTGCAGGTTTTATTTAAATTGCAATGTACTGGACGCCTCCAGTAGTAAACAACTTAACTAGCAGACCAAGACTTGCCTACTATAAGAGGAAAAATAGAATTAAATGATCATTTAATACTTTCCATTTGTCATGGGCTGTCACCGTGAGTTGTGAGTGTTAAGGGCAGCCTGTTATTGTTGCTAACTTGGGATTTGATGGAAGGAAATGGATGTAAACAAGCATGTTCAATATAAGGTGTATGATATTGAGAGGGGAGTTAGTTGAGATTTGGTTCACAGAAGTACACATTTAGTCATAGGGAGATCACGTTTAGTCTAGGAGTAGCCCAGTACATGATGTACAGCAGCCAGAAGGGGGTGGCTACTTGAGGTTAGCCCAGTCGAGGATGCACAGCAGCCAGAAGTGTGTGGCTAGTGAAAGTTAGTTCACATTAAGTCTTCTGAGTTTTCGTTGCCTAATTTGATGTTAGTCCGTGAGACGGATGCTATTTTCTATATTATATTGATATCTTGCCAGTATCAAGAATAAGGACAAACAGAATTATTTTATAAACTGTTGCTGCCTCAAGTATTTGGTGTGTGTGAATCTTACTTAGTGCAGAGTGCTGAAGTGTTATAGTTGAATCTATAAAACGTTATAGTTGAACCTATCAAACGTTATAGTTGAACCTATAAAACGTTATTGTTGAATCTATAAAACGTTATAGTTGAACCTATCAAATGTTATAGTTGAACCTATCAAATGTTATAGTTGCCAGAAATACTTAGGAGTCTGGATCCAAAACAGAGCATTTTGACATTGTTCCACAAATATATACAAGTTCACAACATTTTCAGAGTGATGTATGCATACAGGATTCCTATTTATTTATACACTCTGAATATATAAACAATAACAGAATAAGATAAAACAAGAAATTCAATAGTAAAGGTTTATTGCTAGTAGTATAAGTATTGTTTTGTTATATATTAATTAAATGGTTTAGTGAATTCCTTCCATTCCTTTTGCTCTAATCCTTAATCATTATAATCTAAATCTACTAATCCTTAATCAATTTTAATCTAAATGTACAAATCCTCAATCAATTTTAATCTAAATGTACAAATCCTTAATCAATTTTAATCTAAATGTACAAATCCTTAATCATTTTTAATCTAAATGTACTAATCCTTAATCATTTTTAATCTAAATGTACTAATCCTTAATCACTAATGATCTCAATGTACTAGTCTTTAATCAATTATAATCTAAATGAACTAATCCTTAAACAATTGTAATCTTAATGAACTAATCCTGGAACCATTTTATTTTAAACCATCTCTTAAACAGGACATAAAACTTTTGACATAACATGTTGAGAAATATAAAGAACCAAAATTTTGATAGGTAGATTTTGATAGATAACACAGGGTAAATATTGGTGTATAAAAATGTTGATATTTTACATAAATATTCATAAAAAAAGGTAAGATATGTCAGATCCATACGGTATAACCAGAAACCAAATACAACAGCACCTGCGATATTTTGTTTTTAGGCAATAAGAGATACAAAAAAAATAATGAGATAAAACAAATATGTTAGAGCAGTGGAATCTTATTTAAAGATCATTGAACAAAGAAATGTATCATTCAGTTGGAATGTAGTTCATGGAATGGTATATTATGTGTGTATACATATTATGGTAAAGCAAGGCGTTGGTATCAACATCTCATGATGTACGTGCCTGGCCAAGGCTAGGGAGAGGGCAAGCTACAAGAGTTTAACCTGAATACAGATTTTATGTACAAAATTAAATTGTGACCCCAGTTTCAGTACATCACATCCTGTTGGGAATCTAGGTAAGATTTAGCCATGTTCAGGCGTCACAGCCACTCCACCTAGTTGAAGACTGGTCCCATGATTTATTGAATATTATGTTTAAACTTGTACTTGCGAATGATGAAGAATGACAAGACACATTAATCAATGACATTTAAATGACGAGACACATTAATGACATTTACAAGAAATGCAAAGGTTAAAGAAAAATTTACATTAGAATGTGACTGAATTTTGAACATCTTAAATCAACCAGTATGAAACGATTAATAATTTTAATTTTTTAAAATCATCTTCACGCGTAAAACCTGGTTATATTTTAAGTTAACTCTATTACGTGGTGTGCTTTAAAACAGAAGAAATATATTCTTGATGGTAAAAACTGCTTAGCTGTATTTTACATTTTGTGGTTTATTTTGATAAAATTACTAACGATACTTTTGCAAATTGAGATAATTTTTTTAAACTTTAAAAAATAAAATTAAACAGAATAAATAATTTGTTATATTAACTTGTGATGGAAACAAAAATTACAAGAATTGCAAATAAAACATTACAAATTTCAAATAAATGTGCTGACATTGACATAAGTTAGGAAGAAAATTAAGCATATTAAAATTGTTTGAAATTAATATTGTGTAACATTCTAATATTGCAGCAGATTGTTAGTGAATATAACAATTTAAAATTATGTTAATTGTAGTTAATAACACCAAAGAAAAAGAAGGGATATACTAATCAAAACATTAAAGTCTTAGCACAGTTATGGTTGATATTGCCCACCTATAAATGAACATTTATTTAGGACTTATTAAACACAGAATTTTACAATTTTAAAGAAACGAAACCTTCTGTCTGGCAGTTAGACATGACACTCAACAGTGCAAATTTACCCTAACAAACTTCATTTGCATTTCTACCAAGTTTAACTGCAGCTAGTAATAATAAATTTTAAAAAGCTGTTGGCATCGATATCAACTTTTTATGAGACAGACATTATTAAATCATTAAATGCACTCAAGTTGTAACCAGGATGCATTGAACAATAGTTCCTGTCACTCTGGTTTACACACCCAAAACAAAACAGTACTCTTTAAATTGTGCACATATTAGAGGTATACAACAAAGATATAGCAACAAAAAAAAACAACACAGTCAGGAACAAATTATTAACCTTAAACAATTTGGACCTGTGGGATTATTTAGACATTGTGCAATTTTGGGGCCATAATCATTTGAGTGTTGTTTTTTTTTAAATGGTCATCTTCAAAGCTGTTTTAAGA